TTAATAAAAGGTACAATTCCCCCAAGAGGCTGTAACAATGATGAAGAGGAACCTTTCTATCCCTAACTGCATAGCTTGGGAACTATGTTAGGTCAAGACCAATAGAAAGCCTAGAGAAACTGACCATGCAAAGTGCCCCACGGGAGAGTTCAACCCAAGAATGAACAGATCGCACAAAGATAATGCTGGGTACACTGTGAGTAACCCCAAATGAGGCTCATGATATGTAAGGTATGTGGATATACCTAGAATAACACTGGGAGGAATTAAAATATTAACACGGGCTGTTTGGGAGTGGAATCTTTTCTCTTTCTCCTTTTTTTGTATTTTTCCACCATAAGCATATACTCTTCTAATGGAAAAGAAATGCTCATGTTCAGAGAGAACATAGGGCTCAACCACAGCATTGTGAATACAGCATTCCATAGCACGCGCTGGACCCAGCTCAAATGCGTTTAACAGCTGTGGGGAACCGGGGGCAGGGGGACAGGGGGCAGGCATGGCTCAGTGACCTGCCCTGCCCGCCCTAGTCACACTCACGGTCCTCACTAAGCAGGAGGGGCGCATGCAGGCGGCTTTAGCACTGGGCTGCGTGTTCCTCTCCAGCAGGCCAGTGAGGAGATGTTTAGGCCCAGAGGGATGCAGACATCTGTGCTCTAGTCTATCAGAAGCAGTAACTTCCCAGTCAGACACAGACGGAAGGCCAGGCAGATGGCTATCCCTCTCCAACTTCCACAAACGCTGTCTTTGTGCTGAGGCCCAAGCCCCCCGTCCATATGGGGCACAGGGGAGGCAACAGAGAACAAGCCCTGCAGTGTCTTGTCGAACTGTTGCTGCCAGAGCCACTCACATTAGTGGTTGGGGTTTTAACCTTTCTGGAAAAGGGTGCCAGCCCCGAGCTGTCCTGATATCCTTCTGGGCTAACCTGTGGTCTCTCAGGGAGCCAGAGGAAAGGCTGCCAAGTGTTCCATTATTGATGAAAGGATTGTGTTTGGGTGTTCGGGTCTAACTCATCCCTTCTCCTATAATAAAAGGAACCCAACCTCACACATAACTGGGCGCTAAAAGGGATTGTATGTCTCTATGAGGCCAGGCGCCAGGGACAAGGGATACTGTGACAGAGAACCAAGCTGCTCAGCTACAGTCTCAAGCTGTTTCTGGAAGGAGAAGAGGCATATTTAACATACACCCAGGAGTACAGAACGAATGTTGTGAGGTTTGGGGCGGCCCCTACCCCACTCTCCTTGTTCTCTGTTCCTTCCCTTTTAGAATGTGCATCAAGACCCCTGTACACAAAATGGAAGAGGATGTGAAGTTGGCATACTGAATACCCCTTTGGGGCCTCCTCCTCCCCCTGCTCCTCCCTGCTCTTCAGGCCACATTAGCACCCTAGCCCAGTCTAGCTGGAGAGGGAAGCAATAAAGTCATGGAGCAATTACTGGGATGCAAAGACTGGAAATAATTCTGCAAAACATGTGCTGTATGCACCAAGGTGACCAACAGGGAGATAGGTCTGGGGCGAGAGAGCATTCTCTGAGTTTTGCAGATCGTTCTGCAAATATGGCCATCTAACTCTGCTCACAGACTCAAGGGCATATTTCCATTCACTGACTACCCCTCCCCCCCCCCCCACCTCCAAGGACACACTGACAGCATGAGAACACTGCTCAAGTTTTCTGTGTGTCCATGTGCATAACCACTATGAATAACCATTCTACTTCTGCCAGGTTGTTTCTGTCCCATAAATGGAGCCTGGAGTTAGCTATTTATCATGATATTTGAAAAAAGTAAATTAAAAAAATTATTTTGCCAAAAAGATTCTTTGAGGTTTTAGAAACCAATTTCCACATGTCAGATCCCTCCTTCATGTCTGGCTTTCTCATCCTTGTTTAGCCTCAGTCTTGGTTTGGTTTCTTTCTGTCCCAGTTCTTTACGTCAATGCAAATTTTCAAGGTGATCAGATATTTCCTGCAGCATTCCCTGTGTAGGATCCGTGTAGGGCAGAGATGGGAGAAGAGGAATAAAGGTTGCCTGGGAAGCCAAGGAAAAGATTCTGAAGCTATCACAGTGAAGGATCTTATAGCAACATGCAGTCAGGTCTGGGCTGTGGTGGGAGGCATAGACCAAACTGTATCCTAGACCTGGGAGCACAAACATGGAGTCTATAGGCCAGGCAAACTGATGCTAGTAAGTCAAGGAGTTGGGTGTTAGAAGGATAATTGGGAGATGTGGGGACACCTGTAGGTGACAATTGGCTAGCTGCCCAGGTCTAGCTCATTATTGCCATGTGGCATCATAGGACCAGCACTGCCAAGCCTTTCAATTCTGTAAAAGCCAGAACTCCAAATTCTTATATGGATTGCTTGGATTTTTATAAGTTAGCTCTAAATGCTACACAGCCAAACAAAACACAACTTGAGGGCCAAATGTGGTCATACGTCTACTAGAAGGAACTCTGTCCAGTCTGTAAGCAACATGAGGGGAGGATGTCAAGCTATGTGCTTGATGAGGGCCCACCCAATGCTTACAGAATGAGTGAGGTTTTTCCCAGGTAAGAGGTTTGACTGTCCTGGGGGCGGGGGGGGGGGGGGGGGGGGGGCAATGGGAAAAGATGGCTGGCAACATGGAGGTCTCGTAATCAAGGGAGGAAATAATTAGAGAGCGAACTTGAGCCCCAGCCACTGGGATGGAAAGGAAAGGGTGAAACGGCAGTAGACAGGCTAAAGAATTTTCAAAAAGCAGAACTCAGTGAAAGACCAGATGTGCAGGACTAGGGTGGTGATGAATCTTCCAGGGGAAGCCTGTGATGAACTTGGCCAGAGGGCTCAGGGACTGGTCACAGGGGAGAGAAGGTAAAACATTTTTCTTCACTAGCTTCAAAGCCCTTCGTCTGGCTCTCCCAGACGACCTTATTTTTTTTCTTTTCCATTCTCCCACAAAGGGGATCAGAGGATAACCAAGGGCCCAGAGGCCCTAGCACCAAGAGAAACTGAGCCAAACCTACAGCCAGTTAGGTGATGAGGCATTCATTCAGGAGAAACTGAGGAGAGCTAACAGGGGAATGGACAGGGCAGGGAATGAGCACTGAAGAAAGACAGCATCCACAGGGAAAGGGCAAGAACAGCTTGGGCTATTCTTGGGCTAGAATCATGACATGATGGCTGAATGGTGCAGAAGCCATGGCAGGAGGGGGTGAGGGAGACCTAAAATAGTTCTAAAATCATAGATTTTCATAACATAGGATATGCCTTGGGTTCTGGTCCACAATTTTCTTAATAACTTGGAAAGCCAAGATAAAAATATGGCTAAGCAGAAGTACTCAGGACAGTAAGAAATGGCAGACTCAAGACTACTTCTCAGCTAAGCAAGGTAAGTCTTTTCATGGCATGACTTTTGTTGGTTTCAGTCTGCAAGGGGATCTTTATAATTATCAAATTTGGTCCCAGGCCTTAGACAAATCTCAGTTTTCACCTTAAAAAATAAGCTTTATTGGGAGTTTAAGAACAACTATAGCCACTTGTTTACCGAAGTATTATTATAGTAGCTATAAATTAGTGATTGCTAACCAAGGGCTTAGTATAGTTTTTTTTTGTTTTTGTTTTTTAAAAAAAGAGCCCTTTAAATGCACTGTCTTATAAATACTAAGGACTTTACTTTTTTTTTAATGTTTATTTTTTATTTTATTTTTTTGAGGGAGAGAGTGTGTGTGCATGTGAGCAGGGGAGGGGCAGAGAGAAAGAGGGATACACAGAATTGGAAGCAGGCTCCAGGCTCTGAGCTGTCAGCACAGAGCCCAATGTGGGGCTTGAACTCACAAACCGCGAGACCATGACCTGAACTGAAGTTGTATGCTTAACCAATTGAGCCACCCAGGTGCCCCTAAATACTAAGGACTTTAAATGCACTATCTTATAAATATTTACAATGATTCTATTCTAAAGAAGCTGGTGGCATCACCTCCAATTTACCCGTTGGAATAAAAGCAAGACCTAGAGGTGTTATGTTACCTGCCCAAGGTAATAAAGTCTCTGAGTGACAGAGCCGAGGGCAGAACTGAGGTTCTATCACTCCAGGGCCTTTGTCTAAGCATGGAGTCAGCAAACATTTTCTGTACAGGGGCCAGATGGTAAATATTGTGAGCCTTGTGTGCAATATGGTCTCTGCCACAACTCCCTGACTGTGCTGTTGCAATGCCAAAGCAATCATAGACAATACAAAAATATTTAGGCATGCCTGTTTTCCAAAAAATCTACTTACGGACACTGAATTCGAATTTTAGTGTAATATTTTTCGTCTTTTGGCCTTGTCCCCCAGTCATTTAATTTTTATTTTGTATTTATTTATTTTCCCCCTGGTCATTTTAAATGTTTTATTTATTTTTGAGAGAGAGAGAGAGCGAGCATGATCGAGAGAGGGGCAGAGAGAGAGGGAGACACAGAATCCTAAGCAGGCTCCAAGCTCCAAGATGTCAGCACAGAGCCTGACGCAGGGCTTGAATCCAAGAACCGCGAGATCATGACCTGAGCTGAAGTCGGTCACTTAACCAACTGAGCCACCCAGGTGTCCCATCTCCCCAGTCATTTTAAAAGGAGAAACCTTTCTTAGCTTGTACACCATAAGAAAACAGGGGGTGGGCTAAATTTTTCTCTGCATGCTATAGTCTACGCGCTAGGCTTTTCTACCCTCCAGCTCATGTCACACACTGGTTTTCTTAGGAAGCCCATAGAGATTTTAGGATAAAACCCATGAGTGTACATATGGATGGAGTACACGTCTTGGAGGAAAGACCTAACTCCTCAAGTCAGCCCTCAAAGGACTCCATCTGACCCCAGTTTACAACTTGAAAACACATCTTTCTTCCTTTTCAGTTCCCTCACTTGCTCCCTTCCGTTGAAATAAGCATTGATTCAGACCTCAGAGGAGGTTCTGGGTAGAACAGGAATGTCCCCCTCCTGCACAACATGGTTTTCTGCAAACACAGCCCACCATGTCCTTCTTACCTGCAGGGTTTGGCTGAAGCGCTTTAATGGTGTGGTCTTCACCGGTGGGATGAGGTTTGCTAGTGATGTGACTCTGGAAAGGGGCTTGACCCGTTTATTACTAGGCTCCTATAGGGTTTAAAAAAAAAAAAAAGAAAGGAAAGTGTCAAGGTTAATCACAGACAGCATAACTCCACCACACAGGCCTGTCCCAATCCACGAGCTGCTGGCTGCACACGGTCTATGGAATGTAAACAGTGCCCTGTCTCTCTCCAGCTGTGAGGAGATGACCTAGCTCAGTAGCAAGGGAAGGGGAGATGGCTGGGGGACACCAAAAGGAGCAGCCTCTGCGCAGACAGCAAATGGACAGGATCTGCCCCTTATTCCTCACGCCCAGTATCTGCCAGCTTTTAATTCAGAAGCTTCCACTTAGAATCATTTCCCCAAACGCTTCCTGAAGAGAAAAGCTGCCTCAGATTTCCTATCTAATGACCTTGTCAGGCAGTTGTGTTTTGATGCTTCTGGTTTCATCTTTTTAAAAACGTTTTCCCCACCTTGCCCAAAGCCACTCTCCAAAATTTCTTTCATGCAATGGCTTTTCTAAAGCACAAGGAATGTTTGATTTTTTTTTTTGTTCACTAAATTTAAAAAATATTTTTTAAAGGAAATTCTTCTATTACGAGGTCCTTTGAAAAGCATCTTTGTATCTACAGTATATTTGAAATGCACATATGAATACTTACAAACAACAACCAACAAAAGAAAATGTACAGAGAGAAAACCGTGCCATGGGCATCGGTTTTTGTAATTCATATAGCCACAAGTTTTGAAAATCACCTCCACGTAAAACATGCAAAATAAAACTTGCAAATCTGCAAAGTTATCCCAAACCAAGCTGATGGCTGAGAGGGAGACTACCCATTTCAGTGACTTTGCAGACGAGGATTACATAAAAACAACTGTGAGAAAGAAGGACATGACAGACAAACATTTTACAAAGACAAAGAGAGCAGTTACCCTTGCCTTCCTAAGGTCCATCTGACCTGCAGTAGATGCCGGACAGCACATGAAGACACCAAATTTTGATGGAAAAAGCCAAACTTGCCAATTGCTGTAGTGAACCTCAACCATTTCCAGAGGGAGCCTCAAGATGCTCATCTTTCTTTTTCAGCCATTGCTTTGAAAGTTTTGAGGGTTAGGCCAGGACTTCAGATTCTCCAAGACATTCCTGCAGGGAGTTTTGAACATAGTAGGTGCTTGGTAAAATCTTGCCTGAATCTGGAATTCTGCCGAGAAACTCTCATGTCATTTTGTGCCTTTGCCAATCTCAGGTATCAAAAGCCCTCTTGGAAACAGACCCAACTTTTCTGGCATTTAAATAGAAAAATTAAAAGACTGAAGAAAAAAAAAAGTGCAAATAATTCCACGATGTTGCCAGGATTGACTTCATGATTTCTCGAAGCAGTGAAATACTTTTCCAAGACAGAATGAATCAGGGCTGCCGGGGACCTCTCCAGCTTCTTGGCATACTAAGTTGAACAGACAGTAGGAAACTCTCCGAACACTGGGAAGGTTCAGTTCCAAAATGCAAAAGATGAATCTCTCAATACGAGGGCCATCACATTAATATTATTTAAGGGCTGAAGAGAAAGATCCAATAGCCCTTCTGCTTCCAGGTGACAGTGTCCTTTAGGATGCTTCCTGTCCAGTGCCTGGCTCCTGAGCATCTGTGCCCAGAGGAGGATTTTTAAAATATTTTTTACGTCACAGCTGCATCATCAGCAAATTAAACACACACACACACACACCCTCTTGACATCCCCTGAATTTCTCTAAATACCTCCTGCTTTGGGCTGGAAATGCCAGAGTTGTGATATTACCAACTTTGGTGGCACAAACTGCATTGCAGCAAATGAGGAGGGATTTCACAGTGCAGCAGGACTTGGTCTTAGACAATCCTGCAGGCACCTCGGAGCCCGGAGACTCATCCCCGGATTTTTAATGGCTACGGGTGCTGGATCACAGATCCTGTATTAGAAGGGGAATGCCGAAGGGGCAAATGCCAACTTGGTTCTCTTGCTTTAAAAAGGTGGAGGGAGCATTGCACGCTTGGCAGAATGGGGGAAGATTCAGTTCTGTTCCCCTTGCTGTGTCATCTTTTCTAAGGTTCCGCTGACTTTGCTGCCCATTTTATATGACCCAGTCGATGGGTGTTTCCTACACAGCTAGGAGATATATGCACACTGCAAATGCCAGCCCCTCTGCAGGCTGCATGTGGCGCTGCTACATGAGATCGCAATTAAAACTCCTTTCCTAAGGCTTTGGCCTTTGGAAGTAAATATCAGCTCCTCTCTGGCTATCTGACATTCCCAAGTAACGAACAATTGAACTAGAAACCGTTGCTGCCTGATATGAGGCTGTGATCCAGCACAGCAGGCAGGTACAATTTTAAAACCATAGCACTTGCAGGTTATTGGATCTACTGAGGACGCTTTATGCCTGACCCACCTGAGCAAAGTATGAATTATGGTTTCTCCTTGAGGGCTTCAGTGAGAATAGGAGATTAAAAAAATTCTTGGCCTAATTTGATTTTTCTTTTCCATTTACTCAGTATGTCTCCAGCTGCATTTTACTGCTATCTAAAAAGAGCCCTGAGGGAAAATGTTTCCAGATTCTAGGTAAATAGCTCTACCGAAAACTAGCAAATGCAATTCCAAGGATGCTTTCAGGCTTTACAAAGAGATGACAGAGTACAACCTGCAGAGACAACTCAGCTGCCAGACCAAGCTGGGCAAGGTCAGTGCTAAGCCCATCTGTTTCAAGTGCAGATACCACCCCCACTATGCAGTTTTAAGACAGGGCAGGAGGGCATCTCACTAAAAAGGTAAAAAAACAGAAAAAAGAAAAAGGCATTGAGTACTGTGTGTTGGCAGTATTTTCTGAATAAAAATGTTTTGCTTCATCTTTTCTAGGCCTTATAGGTTTGTTTGTTTGTTTTTTTTTTTTTTTTTTGCTTTTCTTGTCTTATTGCACTAGCTAGGACCACCTGCATATTATTTATTCCAAGCTGAGATAGTGGGCACACTAGAGTAGTTCTTGATTCTAACGTGCTTATTATGAAGATTTCATCATTATGAATGGTCTTTCTGAGACCATTGCTGAAAGCATGGGTGAGATACCCTTTATCAAGGAGGAAGAGCTCCATTCTATGCTAAGTTTGCTGTGAATTTTCATAATGAAGGCATATTGACCTTTATCAAATGTTTTCTCTGTATCTTTTCAGAGGACAAGGAAAGAGGAAAAAAAGGGAGAGGTAGAAGGAAGGAAAGGAGACAATGAAGAAAAAAGGATGGAGGTCACATATTTTCATAAGTGAACTGGCACAGCAATTTAAAACATCTCTTGTGTTTGAAATACAAATAAATAAATAAATAATAAAGCACTCAATGACATCTTATTTTTTATTTTTTTTATTTTTTTGGTTTTAAGTATTTTTAATAGGGGCGCCTGGGTGGCTTAGTCGGTTAAGCGTCCGACTTTCGCTTAGGTCATGATCTCGCGGTTCGTGGGTTCGAGCCCCACGTCGGGCTCTGTGCTGACTGCCAGCTCAGAGCCTGGAGCCTATTTCAGAGCCTGTACCTCCCTCTCTCTCTGACCCTCCCCTGCTCATGCTCTCTCTCTCTCCTAGAAATAAATAAAAATATTTTTTAAAAAAGTTAAATATCTTTAATAAAGAATATTTGTGCTCAGTAATATAGATCGAGTCCTTTTTTTTTTTTTTTTTTTTTTTTACAAATAGTTTATTGTCCAGTTGGTTTCCATATAACACCCAGTGCTCTTCCCCACAAGTGTCCTCCTCCATGCCCATCTCCCCCCACACCCACACCCATGAGTCCTCAGTTTGTTCTCAGCATTCAAGAGTCTCTCATGGTTTGCCTTTCTCCCTTTCCCCCGACATTTTATTTTTAATGTGAGATTTTATTAAATAGACTTTAATATTCCTTCCCTAGGGGAGATAGTGATTTTCTCCCTCTCCTCATTCTTACCTCCTATCAGGTAAAAGCCAAAGCAGATTATATGCCTGTAAGAAAGTACCTATCATATCAATATAATCTAGCATAACTTTTTATTCTTCAAAAATGATTCCACTATAATAGATATGGAATATAGGAAACCATCACTCATTCTCCCTGCATTTCATTTTTGCACCTAGGGTGGGGTTGGGGCACAAAAGAAGGGTTTTCCTTATCATGTTTGTAGCTGCCCTGTGACTACCTTCACTTAGCACAAACCCAGCCCAAGAGGGTGAGAAATGCATCCATCAGCACAGAACTGCCCACTCTACTGCAGGACAACACTGCTCTTGGCTGTTATACCCCTGATGAGAATCAACTGCTAGCAGATGCTTTCGCCTATGAGTTAATGGGCTCATAAAAGGCTTTCAAATGTTTGAAAATACCAGGGAAGCCTTAGGCAGGGCTCCATCTGTTTGACAGGAGGTGTGATGGGACCTGCACACCCAGGGGTCATGGTTAATCCACCTAGTACCCCTCTAGAAGGCTTTCATCATCCTCACATTAAACAGGAAGTTCTAATTTCAGACTGGTTGAGAAGCCCTAGCATTATGAAATGATAATAATAGTAATAATAGTCTCATATTTATTGCAGGGACTCCCTTTAATGCTTTATAGATATCTACTAATTTATTCCTCCTAACAGCCCTGAAAGGTGGTTACTATTATGAGGCAAAAGATGAGTGATATGCTTAAAGTCACTGACAAAAGGTAGCCAGGATTTAAACCTAGGCAGGCTGGCTTCAGAGCCAATGCCTTACAGCTTGGTATAAGGGACCAGATGGTAAATATTTTAGGTTTTGTGGGCATCTAGCCTCGGTCATGACTACTCATCTCTGCCATTAGTCTTAAATAGTATGTAAATAAATGAATGTGACTATGTTCTTTTAAACCTTTATTTATAGAGATTAAAATTTGAATTCCATATAGGTTTTACATGTCACAAAATATTATTTTGCTTTTTTCAACCACTGTAAATAGGAACCATTCTTTCCTCGAAGACCACAGGAAGTAGGCTATATTTGGCTTGTGGGCCATAGTTTGCAGACCACTGCTCAACACAACTTCTGACTTTACAATGGTCATTTCCTGGGTCAGTGGTCCTCAGCCTCAGCTTTTCTACTGTGACATGCCCAAAGACTCCCAGCTACAGCAACCTCCCAAGGCACACTTAGATAATCATCACACTCTGGAGAGGGCATAGGCTTATTGTTTCTGGAGCTAGCTAAGCAGAGTCCTCCCCTGGTAAGCAGGAGATATATATCTGACTTATCTGTTATGTGAGTAAAACCTGTCCCACTACACTTTATTGTCTTAGCTTTCCAAACATATTGGCCCAAACATGACCCAAACTTTCCCTAACCACTGATGGTTACAAATAAGGGACAAATAAAATAATGGGATATCTGGGATCTGCTTCACAGTAATACAGGGATAGGGAGTGGGGATGTGTAGGAAACAAGGCTGATCACAGGTTGGTAACTGTCAAAGATGGGGGCTGGGCACAGGGGACCCACTATGCAGTCTTGCCCGTGGGATGCAGTCAAAATGCTAGATATACAAGGGTTTATTTTAATGGACAGAGAACCATTTTGCAAATATATCAGTGAGCAGACAGATGCCATCAAAGATCTATACATCAGATGTTAGTGAGGACCGAGAGAGAAAGGATACTGAAAGAGACAGATGATAGGCATTATCTAGAATTGAACATAATTAGAAAAAATTTGGTAAAATGAAAAGAAAAATCCCACTACTGAATTTCAGTAATTTTCAACTAACATAGGCCACGTAGCTGGGAAATCAAACGCTGAGAGAGCTACCCTGAAACATTCAAACTTAAAGATGAGTGAACCCATGGAGAGGCATAGACTCAGCCATCAGACTCTCTGAAATCTGCTTTATGTTACTGACTGGTTTTTTATTTGTTCTCATTAAGAAAGCTATCAACAAGCTGCCAATCACAGGGCTCCATGACATAAAACATTCTCGTGGAGGTCAAATCAGATGTAGAAACATACAGAGAAAATAGGAGTCATCCAAGGTTGGCCTGCCTGGGGAGGGGAGACCTCTGTTCTGTTGGATTTATTTTAATCTGTGAGTGTGCTTTCCTTTCTCCAATTCTGCCTCTCAAATGCATGTTTTTCTCTCCATT